AAAAATGTATGTAAATCGTATGGAGGTATGGGTGGACGTTAAACTAAAAGATAGTGGAAATATTAATCATTTATACGATTAATACGTGAAACCGTCGGTCATTATTGAAACTCCATAACTAAGAAACTGAGGAAAATACAGACATTGTACCGTTTTTACAGTTCACAAATATGTTATATCACCAGTAAAGGTACTGGATAATGTGTTAACTGGTACTTTTTTTTAGGATTCACAGATATCTTATTTCACCTGTAAAGGTACTGGATAATGCGTTAACTGGTACCGTTTTTAGGATTCACAGATATCTTATTTCACCTGTAAAGGTACTGGATAATGCGTTAACTGGTACTGTTTTTACGGTTCACAAATATGTTATTTCACCAGTAAAGGTACTGGATAATGCGTTAACTGGTACCGTTTTTACAGTTCACAAATATGTTACTTCACCAGTAAAGGTACTGGATAATGCGTTAACTGGTACCGTTTTTACAGTTCACAAATATGTTATTTCACCAGTAAAGGTACTGGATAATGCGTTAACTAGCGAAACTATGATAAGAATCAATGAAATATTTGTGAAACTTTGTTTTCCTTAATTCTATATTAGATCATTTCTTTGTCTTTGTCTGTTTTTTTTTCCTGAGTATTTAAGATCAGATAAGTCATAGTTGAACTGTCAAGTAACTTAATTCAGAGCTTGAATTTTTGTTAAATATAAAAAATATCCCTTCAACATTAAATATATTTTTTGTGCCAATATAACTAACTGTGGTGTTGTTAGACAACTACGCGTCAATACGTTTAAACGTTTAGGTCTGATTTAAGTTAAGGCCAAGTCAGAAACCCCTAATATTCAGATAAGCCCGTCTCTTACTTTGAAGTATACAACTACGCGTCAATACGTTTAAACGTTTAGGTCTGATTTAAGGAAGAGCCAAGTCAGAAACCCCTAATATTCAGATAAACCCGTCTCTTATTTTAAAGTATTTACCATAAGGAAGACAGCCAGCTGGCAGCACCAAACGCCTCCTCTGTTCGACTTTATGAACCGAAAAACGGAACTCACCAAACTCTTAACAGTTACGTTCAGCCTGACTGTCACAGCGGAAAAAAGTCGTTGAAAGCGAGAGTATCCAAACTGCCTTATCGATGCATTGTACGTTTCAGTTTTCATACATATTGATGTAAGACATTTTGTATTTCTAGACAGTTTAATACACAAGGCCCGGCTTGGCCAGGTGGGTAGGACGCTCGACTCGCAATCTGAGGGTCGCGGGTTCGCATCCCACCAAACAAACTCGCCCTTTTAGCCGTGAGGGCGTTATAATGTGACGGTCAATCCCACTATTCGTTGGTAAAAGAGTAGCCCAAGAGTTGGCGGTGGGTGGTGATGACTAGCTGCCTTCCCTCTAGTCTTACACTGCTAAATTAGGGGATGGTTGGCGTCAGGTAAGGGCATCCGGCCGTAAAAACACAGCCAACACCAAAAATAGAGACGGGAAAAAGCTACAGAAGAAGAAGACAGTTTAATACAGCTAATTAACTTCTCTAATTTATAAGTTACTTTTTAGTTCTGATCTATAGAGTTAGTTTACTTTTGACCAGACGTTATTGATAATTGTTTGGTCTCTCAAATACCACTCGATCAAATTTGATGAAAAGACTGCTGGTATAGATTTTTCTAGAATTAGCTACGACTAGAATTGGAATAATTTCTCTTCTTTTTAATTTTTTTTGTGTGTAAAGAATTTTGTAAATGTCTACCGTATGTATCGCATCAAAATACACAGCACCTATTCTGACTCATACAATCTCTATATAAGCAGTTTATTTAAGAAATCATATTTTATTTTTGTTGAGATAAGTATATTTGTTTGTATATTTGTTGAATTTAAACTTTCTAAAAGTAGTTTTGGTTTTAATAACGGATTTTTCATAATTCAGCTACGCAGATTTTGAAAATAATGTTCATTTGTTCCTATCATGTAAGGATTGTTTTTTTTTTTTTTTTACAAATCGGGAAGAAAAAAACAAACTTTTACTTAGATCAAATTATTATTTCGTTGACCACAATGAACATTTTTTATCATTAAGTTTGGGTTCTAGAACAATCGATACCACTCTCACGTCGCGATTGGTCTAGAGAAATCTATAGCCAGTGGTTGTCAACATTTTAAGCATAACAAAATGTGACCCGGTTTCAATGAAAATAATTCATTTATCTAAAAGTACATATGGCGTTTTGTGAAAAATCTGTACGTGATGGGGAAAAATTGATATCATTTTCAGATTCAGTGTACAGGAATAACTGTGGAACATGTAAAATGTTTTAGACAATAAAACCATCGCAGGCCTGCATAGCTACTTGAGGGCTACCTGCACTAGTCGTCCTTAATTTACAAATGATAGATTATAGGGAAGGCATCTATTCAACACAACCCACCGCCAACTCTTAGGCTACTCTTTTACCAACGAATAATGAGATTGACCGTCACATTATAACGCTACCCACGGCTGAAAGGGCGAGCATGTTTCAGTGTGACGGGGATCCTAGCCTGCGACCCTCAGATTACGAGTCAAGTGCCCTAACCACCTGGTCATGGCGGGCCGCTATTGGTTGGAAGAGAGGAAAGTACACTTTTTAAAGTAACATTACATTAAACCAACATTATGTTAGAGGCATTGCGTTTCGTCCAGAAATTTGAAATCAAAAACGTTAATAAAAAAACAATAATATTAATACAACAGTAAACAATTAAAGCCATTGCGCTTGTTATTGATTTGAACTGTTCCGAGTATTAGAAAAAATAAATAAATAAAACTTTTTTTTATGAAATTAAGTGTTTCGATGACTTGGTAATATATCTTTTCTTTAGAAAATATATTTTTCGTTAAAAAATTATCTTTTTCGTTAAAAATATCCTTTTCATTAAAAAATTATCTTTTAGTTAAAAAAATATCTTTTTTCGTTAAAAATATCCTTTTCATTAAAAAATTATATTTTCGTTTAAAAAATATATTTTTTGTCTTTTTCTAGTAGTTTACTTACTTCACTGTACAATTAATACCAATTCAAATAAATATGAATACCTCGCTTTATTAGCTATGCCTAATGGCTTAGGTTATTGGAGCACAAATAGCACGAACGATAAATTTTGTTAAGCCTAATTCGCAAGTGCTTTTAAGTTTGGTAATAATTATGATATTATACACCAGCATATAACAGAGAGAACGTTCACGAAATGTTATTATACTTTATTCTTAGGAAGCCCGTAATAAGCCAGTAAAGAATCACGTGGGTATACTAGAATTATTAAGAGTGTTATTGTGATCTAATATCACACTCTCTACCCATTAACTTCTCGTGCTTCGCAAGCTTAGGCGTTATACGTCATTAGACTTGATGTCTCATAAACGACCGGTATAAATATCTTTTCATCTAATTAAGACTTTGTGTGTTGTACCAAGTTCGGCCTGTTTGCTCTGGTAATGAAGGATCTCATTGGAAATGGCATACTGTAGGCAGAATATCGTTGAAATGCTAATATGCATTCTTCCCACAGGAAACTCGTATAAAGAATGATGTGATTTAAATTGTTGTAAATGTTTTTGTGGTGTAATACCACACTTATAGTTATAAATGTTTTTGTGGTGTAATACCACACTTATAGTTATAAATGTTTTTGTGGTGTAATACCACACTTATAGTCAACTCATGTATCATGCTTCATCAGGGAACGAGGCTAGAAAATGTTTTGCTAAAAAATATTCGAAGTAGGGTAGCACGTACCCCTGTTATCCCCCTGGTTAGATGCTTATGCTTCGTTCCTATTTTCCTGTGCGTTACTATACGAGTTTTTATTGAAGTGTTCACGAAATCTCAAATTTAAAATACAGACTAGGGAACCAAATTCAGACTACGAGGCAGCGCATCTCCAACAGTTCCATCAGTGGGTCAGCGGTAAATTGACGGACTTGGAACATTAAAATCCGAGTTTCGATTACTCATGGTCGACAGAGGGCAGATAGCCTATTGTTTAGTTTGCGCTAAAACAAACAAACGTATTTTACTCCCCAGTGGTTCAGCAATGAGTCTTTGGGCTTACAACGCTAAAATTCGGGGCTCGGTACTCGCGGTGAGCAAAAGTAGCTTTGTGCTTATTAACAACAAACAAAATCTCGAACAGTCGCTGTTCAAAATGTAAGAAAACAATCTGAGCGAACGTGTTTCAGTTTGTTGTTACTAGCTCCAGGTTCCTAGTTACATGGAACATTCTTCGTACAAATGTTTCACTTAGATCAATAATCTATTATCTGACGTTTCGGTTAGTATACTGTAGTATTTGGTAACAGATACTGTTTTTCCAACTGAGTTGTTTTATCATTGTTGGATGTGATATTGTTCAATAATCTTTAAGGTGTACATTTGACGTAGAAGGCATGAATATTTAGTTAGCCTAAATGAACTATTTCCTTGTAAGTACTTGATCCAAATTATAGGCTTATTTCTTCCCTAATATATGTTTAAGTGACTGTGTGCGAGTAATCCCAACTCTCATTTACCTAAATAAATAAAAAAAGAATATAAAGCTTGTCTAAACAGATTCGAAACTTTTCGTGATGCGATGGATAATTAATTGTCTTAGCTCTTCTAGAAAAGGTATCCAGTTGTCCTTCATTAAACTCGATGAACTGATGCGCATATATTTGCTGTGGATCTGCTGAAAATTCATCAATCGGAGATGCTATCTAATAACATTAAAAATACGAGTGTACAGCCCCTCCCCAGTGTGCAGCCCCTTCCTCTATATCCAAGAAGAAAATAAAAACTTTCAGCACGTTTGCACTAACAATTGCCCCCCAGTGACACAGCGATATGTCTGCGGACTTACAACGCTAGAAACCGGGTTTCGATATCTGTAGTTTTGTGCTTAATTATAAACAAACAAACACTAACAATTATGAGGTGCAGTGCAAGAACAAAAGCAACTTTGACTCACCCAACACCTTTAATTCAACCTGAGAGTAGTCTTCACCCAGAGAATTGTTGACCACACATAGATAGCGTCCTTCGTCGTTCAGCTGGACACGGTTTATTTTGAGGCTTCCATGACGCTTCTCAAGCATAGCCCAAGAGGGAACTCTGATTCGTCGGGACCCTTTTAATTTGAACCATTCGTAGGTCGGAGGTGGCTGACCCTGAGCAGCACATGGAAGGAAAACAATTTCCCCGCTCTTAACTGACACCTGGTGTTGGCGAATAGTAACACTTGGAGCAATGTCTTCTTTTGGGTCTGAAAAAATACAATCAATTGTTAAATAAAACGTTTTCGTTAAAGCATTTTAAGAATATAATATAAACTATTTCGCAACCAGTCTTGATATTGAAAGTTTGTTTTCATAATTTCGCGCAAAGCTATAGAAGGCTATTTCCTCTAGCCGTCCGTAATTTTGAAATGACCAACAAGAAGGAAGGCAGCTAGTCAACGCTACCCACCGCCAACTCGTGGGTTATTCTTTGGTCAACGAGTAGTGGGATTTACCGTCAAATTATAACGCCCCCACGACTTGACAGGGCGAGTACGTTTGGTGGGACAGGGATTCGAACCCGCGTCCCTCAGATTGCGAGTCAGGCTGTCCATAATTTTGAAATGAAAGACAAGAGGGAAGGCAGCTAGTCAACGCTACCCACCGCCACCTCCTGGGCTACTCTTTCGTCAACGAGTAGTGGGATTGATCGACACTTTATAATGCCCCCACGACTGATAGGGCGAGAATATTCGGTTACGGGATTTGTACTCGCGGATTCCTAGTCCTAACAACCAAACCATGCCAGGCCGGAATGTTGGAAAAGGAAACCAATAACGACAGGATTCAGATGAGGTAAAAGGTAAAATTAAGGAAAGCTAAAGTTATAATAAATTAAATCTAGAACGATGAATGTTTTTGTTTGTAAAGGTGGTCATTAAAGTAACCAAACAAACTCTAGAAAAATGGCGTTTGTGGTTTAGTTTAGTTGTTAAGCACAAGGCTACACAGTGGACTATCTGTGATCTTCCCACCAAGGGCATCGAAACCAAAATTTTTGGGTAGTAAGCATGCAGACTTACTGCTGGTGTTTGTGATTGACACGAATGTTAAGTACGTTTATTGAAACAAATGTCTGCCCAGAGACACATTTCGTTTACCCATGCACGTGATACTAAGCCTAACTAAAAATGGGCACTAACTACAGGTTTCACAAAATGCTGTTTTTAGATAAATAATCTGCTACGTGTGTGTGTGTGTGCTTATAACTAACAAACCGATGGACCGATTGTTACCAAAGCTGGCATGCTCCCTCTATCGTCCGATAAATAAACTAAGTATTGTTCTTTCAAAGATATGATGCTCACAATGAAAACGCCTTGCATTTTCAACTGTGCGTTTTAAGAGTTGCAGTCAGTTTCTTCACTCGGTTCCAACTGGACAAGTCCCACGGTGGGACAGCAGTAAGTCTTGGGATTTACAACGCTAAAATCAGGAGTTCGATTCCTCTCGGTGGACACAAGAGACAGTCCGATGTGGCTTTGCTATAAAAAAAAAACACACTCAACTGGACAAATCCGTTTTGTCTGCCATCCATCCGTTCAATATCTAAAATGCTGGAGAACTATGACTGAACCCTAGAAACCCCGGACTTCGTCGTTTAAGTCACGTGCTCGTAAAGAGCCGTTCAAGTTGAAACTTCGATTCAATTTTCGAATTAAAAAAAATCCCTTTTTGAGGATTACAAATCATATGATGAGTAAGAAGGAAATTCTACATGTACCCACTCGGGATACAGTAAGTTCAGTATGTCATTTGTAACATCCCACTCGGGATACAGTAAGTTCAGTATGTCATTTGTAACATCTCACTCGGGATACAGTAAGTTCAGTATGTCATTTGTAACATCCAACTCGGGGTACAGTAAGTTCGGTATGTCATTTGTAGCATCCCACTCGGGATACAGTATGTTCAGGATGTCATTTGTAGCATCTCACTCGGGATACAGTAAGTTCAGTATGCCATTTTTAATGTTACAGGCATTATGTAGTAACATATAACAAATGCCAATGTTTACTTCAATTTTTTAATCTTATAGTTTATAACTTATAAGTTTGTGTAACTTAAAATATTCTATCATTTTTTAAGCAACTTATACAAAAGTTTGTTATTAAATCTTGAAAATAAAATGAATGTTTTAAGTCCCTATATTCAACATAAAACCTGGCACTTATCGATTAAGAGCTGCGATTTTTATCATTTGGTAATCATTTTGATCTGTAATTTGAATTGTTCTAAATGTGGCATAGCGATGACGAATTTTGAGACCAGTCACTTATTGGTTGAAATATTAACGTTTAGTCACGACTTTATACACATTTAACTAAATGCTTCTAAGTATAGTACTGTTGATTCCCTACGTGCCCGAAAAAAAAAAAGAAACTTTGTTTGCTTTAAAACAAAGCCACGTTGGATTATATCTATTGTATCTATTGCGAGAAATTGTAAACTTACTGCTGTCCCACCGGGAGACAAAGTTTGTTTGGGTGTTTATTTCGGAGCAACAACCACATCAGGCTTATACACTGTGTCCACCGCGGAGATTCGAACCTCGGATTTTAACATTATAGGTCCGTAAACTTACCGCCGTCCCATCATGCTGCAACAAAATATAATCTGTAAAAGTTTTTTCAGGCGTGAAAAATAAGAAAACTTATTTAAAAAGAACATCTTTCGGCCTTTCCCTCTGTTTCTAAAGTTATAAATTTGTCACTTGTAATATATAATTGGGTTTTTACGACAGAGCAAACTCAGTTTATGGAAAGAAATAAGAAAGTAAAGTAATGGACCCTTTTACTAGCTAGCGTGGCCAGGTGGTTAGGGCACTTGACTCGCAATCTG